TTTAAACAAGGTTAGATCACAAGAAATTGGATCTAATCATGTATGGTATATGATTGAGCCTGGTTGAATGTATTCTAGTGCTGAAGCTTGTTATCTCCAAGATCGAGAGTTATTATTGATGTCTCGGGATAAAGTTTCAATATAATTAGTTGATCTGATGATTAGAAGAGAATTAGGGGGTGTTTGGTTGAGGGAATTTGGCAAGATAGATGGGAAAATTACAAGTAGGATTCTAAGACAATCATGTTTGGTTGAACAGCTTTTGAAGATGGCTACCTAAATCATTATCTCAGGTGATCAATTTAGATGGCTATCTGTGACCAAAAAGCAGGCCAAATAATCCCACTTTGAGGGTGGTATTGCAGTTTACCTAGCAATACACGTTTTCAAACAGTTACAACTTGGACGGCTATCTGTGATCAATTTGAACCGCTTTTTATTTTATGCTTGTTGGCAACTTACACGTTTACAATACGGATAAAGGGTACCAACCCTCTGATTCAAAATATTTTGACTACAGGGTTATTTTCGTAATTTCATGCATCTTTTCCATCTATATTTTACTTACATCCAAACATAGACTTTATAAATATTACTTAATTTGCCGAGTAAAATTTATTCCAACCAAACAACTTTTTTTAACATTTTTCTACCAAACTCACTTTCCAACCATTTTCCTATGTATATCATTTCCCTATCATTCATAAAATTTCTCCGCAACCAAACGCCCCCTTAGGGGCAGTGGTGGAGCCAGCCGATTCATTGAGCCAGGGCTAACAAAAATTTAAGTGGGGCCTAAGATTAAATTTTATCTAGAAACTTAGCCACGATTATTTAGTCATGTTAAAAACGTGGCTAATTTTCAAATTTTAGCCCAGGTCAAGGCTCCACCCTACCCTTAAGTGGCTCCACCACTGAGAAGGGGTGAGGTAACTGTGATAAACTATGGTGCTCAAGTTCATATATAAGAAAATGAGCTTAAATAATATGGAAAAGATAAATGTACATGAGTTTTGGCCTTTTTATTTATAGTGTACGACATGACTTGCTTGTAAGCTCAATGTACCATCTTTGAGTGGTGGCTTAGTTGATATGCCTTCTAAATGGTTCATTTGGATGGTTTTCATAACCTATAACTCTATGTGAGATGTCTCTCAATGACTTATATTATTGAGGCTTGGTTGGAAATTATCTTCATCATTCGGTCATTGGCTAAGTGGAATGGTAACCAGGTCTGAGCTGTTGAGTAATTCGCAAGATGACATGTACACACAACTTATACATTTCTTATTAGTTAAGGCTTGATTTGGGTTTAATAGGTTTAATCCAATAAAGTGTAATACCCCAATTTGAAACTGGCACACTACACTTAAATTAAGTGCATAATAGACAAAATGTAGTCGTTCACCATCACAAGGTGGAAGGTTACCAAAATTTTGCAGATACATTGTACCTCAAGTCATTGGCATACATATAAAATCTTTACAAATTTTTCAGGTAAAAAATGACTATTAGTTGCAACTTAAAGACTAAGGTGCAGTCCAAAATATCATCACATAATATTCAAGCCCACACACAACATTTAGGATACGCGTAGTTAAGCCTTTTCGGGTCTGTTGTCTCGATCCTTTCCATATGAAATAACCCCATTATGAATTCTTACCCTAATTTAGTGAAATTCAATCGTCCTTATTTTGGTTCAGACCAAAACTCTAGGACCCAAAAATGATTTTGGGTTGGATGCTTTTACTTTGTCTAATCAATATTAGACTCTCACCCATAAAATGCTCCGAGAAGTAAAATAAAATAAAATCAAAAGCAGTTGATCATATATTTATTTAAAAAGAATCATTAGCAAAAAATAACATAAAAAAGTACTTATTTCACTACAAAAAACAAGGCTTACAGGGACATTAGTTTAACCACATTTATTAAAATGTTGATAAAAATCCGAAAATACCCCTGATTAGCCACACTATTTTCAAAATGAAGTAAAATTATTTTTGAGTTTTTTATTATCTTTTATTTCTAAAAAATATTTTTCATTTCTATTCACTACTCTATTACTCTGTTCTATTAGGGATAAACACTAAAGTCTATCCTCCTTCTTTAGGCTTGGAACTCAGTTCCTTTCTTTAGGCTTCAAATCGTGGTAGAATTTCTCAGTGCTAAGATGACTCTAGTTTTAGATCCTTACAGATCTATGAATGTTCACAATATTTTTTAGTATTATATATTTTTATTTAATTATTTTTGAAATTTCAGGTTTACGTTTCATCTCTATGATTCGAAGTGCCGATCTCAGATCTAGTTTTTTCATGCAATTTTAAGGTTCTGAAATTATAGTGGAACTTTAGTTTTTAGGGCTCTGAAGTTAACTCTCTCTCATAGTCAGGTACTCTCTCTCGTTTCTTCTGTTTCAATAAGTTCTGTATATTTGTAATACTTAGTTAAAATTTACTTCTCATCGATTTCGAACCCTGTGACGTGTTGCGTCTCAACTTGAAGCCTGCGCCACACCTTGCTCCATCGTCCACGGTGAGTTTCTTTCATTCTTTTTGCGGCTGTGATGTGAATTTTATTTTTAAATTTGCCTTCAGTTAGAAATTAGTATATCATCATATATTACTTGGCGACTGTGCTTTTATTCTATCGTATGCTTTTATTCTTAATCAATTTTTACTGGGTTTATGTTATATGATGATTTTTTTTTTCTGTTATGGTTGGTGTGAAACTTAATGTGTGAGGTTGCAAATTGCTGCAGATACTTATGTCCTGAGCCCTATCCACAAGAAAATCTAGAGTTTCTTCACTCACAAAATATTCTGCTCTTTCAATTTGGAATTGAGGGGAAGACGGTAATTTTAATTTCCCTTTTTGTTCTGTGATATTAACTTTCATAATCATCAGTTATGCTAAAACGTGTGTTCTTGTGTTTTAATGTTTGAAATCTGGGTTATCAGAAATTTGGTTCTCTTAGTTTTTCAAATTTTGAAGACAAATTTTTATTGAAATGTCAAGACATTCAGTTCGAGGTTTAAATTTGTTATGCAGTTCTTTTGCTACTCATCATGTCATGCTTTTATTCTATCGTATGCTTTTATTCTTAATCAATTTTTACTGGGTTTATGTTATATGATGATTTTTTTTCTGTTATGGTTGGTGTGAAACTTAATGTGTGAGGTTGCAAATTGCTGCAGATACTTATGTCCTGAGCCCTATCCACAAGAAAATCTAGAGTTTCTTCACTCACAAAATATTCTGCTCTTTCAATTTGGAATTGAGGGGAAGACGGTAATTTTAATTTCCCTTTTTGTTCTGTGATATTAACTTTCATAATCATCAGTATGCTAAAACGTGTGTTCTTGTGTTTTAAATTTTTGAAATCTGGGTTATGAGAAATTTGGTTCTCTTAGTTTTTCAAATTTTGAAGACAAATTTTTATTGAACTGTCAAGACATTCAGTTCGAGGTTTAAATTTGTTATGCAGTTCTTTTGCTACTCATCATGTCATAGTTTTATATTTATTCATCTATTTGGGAAAAGGGGAATCTGGATTTTTTCTAAAATAAGTTTTGGTGTCAAGTGATTTTTTTGTAGAGCACAATAGCTGCAAAAGTTTTTTTACACATGGCTGTGCATTATGGAAGACTGGTTTTACTGTTATGATTGCATTAAACAATGGAACTAATGATCATGTTCATGAAATTTGATGCATATGGATTAAGGACTCAAATTTTGGTCTCCCTGTTAGATTTTTTTGATTCCAGAGCTAACGAGTCTTTGTATTATTCGCAGGAAGTTTCTTTGCCTATTCTCAAGGATTCTATCATGGAGGCTCTGAAAGTTTTAATTGGTACTGAATTGTAACAATCTCCTTCAACTTTGTGATGCAGTTTTTTGTGAATATCCCCAGCTTTTAATTGAAAGTAGACAACAAACACAGGTATGCTTTTATTCTATCAAAAGATTCAGCAATCAACTAAAATTGCAAAGTAAATAACAGTTTAAATAAAGTGAAGAGAGTAATTTAATAAATAATTAAAAGTAATTTTGTGATGCAATATGATGCAGGAACAGGTATGGTTGGATACCTACTCCTATCCAATGTCTAAATTTTAAACAAGTTTTCTTCTCTTGGCTTAGCATTATTTTCTTAGCTTTACTTCTTTTCTTTAATTTTTGGTATATATTAAAGATAAGAACCATTAGTCATTGATGGTTCATTTGCCTATAAGCTAAAAATGTGGATTTAAGGGGAAGTTGCATGCCCCCTGTACTCTTTGGTTCTCAGATTTGACAAATTCTAATAAATATTTATTAGTAAATATTTTGAACTTTATCATGAAGCTGGCCCACGCCTTTATGATTTTAAACCGGTGATGGGGTTACGCTTTCAAGTATGTCATATGTATCCTTTATTACCTTGCTGATTATAAAGTGTATATTTAAACATTGCTAATTGTATAATGATTCCATGTACTGATTAGCTTAATGAAAGTTGTTTCTAGATATAACATAAAAATATATTGTGAGGAGAATAACATAAAAATTAGGTCAATAAAAGTAAGAAAGTGGATGTTTTTATTTAATTTAAAATATATTGTGAATTTTTACCAAAAAAAAAAAATATTGTTACCTTATATATGTCCATAGGAGGCAGGAGATTTCAGCCGTGTAGATTGGCTCAGTATACAAATCTTGGAGGTGTGACCATCGACTCAATATATAAAGTGATCAGCATCTAAAGGTATTTTCTAAAGTGAATTTTATTTTATTTTAATATTTTATTATTAGATATTTTAAATGCCTTTTGATTCGATTTAAATTAAATTTGAAAACAGATTTAACTAATTATGATCGATAAGAGTTGGATTGAGAAGCCACTTAGATCAAAAGAGTACCTATATGGGGTAGTCCAATTTTTGGACTTTGCCTTTTCAAACGCATCTATTAATGGACAAATTTTATGTCCTTGCATTAAGTGTGGATTTCGTAGTATGTGTGATAAAACTGAAGTGTTAAGTCATCTACTTCAAAAGGGTTTTCCAAGAAAGTACACATTTTGGTACATGCATGGGGAAAAACATATTCAATCCAATGTTGAAGAAGCACAAGCACGCGAAGACCCAATTAGACAATATCCAATGCAAGATATGTTAAATGATGTTTTTGGTGTCTTTGATGATCATGGAATTGAAGATTCTGACACATCAAATCAACCTAATGGCGACCACACTGGGGGTACAAAAGATGCCAGTAAAGAAGAGTTAGAAAAAATTAAAGAATTGCTAAGGGATGGGAATCAAGAACTCTATGATGGTTGCACAAAATATAGCAAATTGTCATTCATTGTTCGGTTGTATCATATAAAAGTCTTATGTGGTGCAACTGATAAAACATTTTCTTTGATTATTGAACTTTTAAATGATGCTTTTCCCCATGCTAAATTGCCAACATCTTTCTATGAGGCAAAAAAGATGATTAAAAGGTTGGGTCTAAGCTATGATAAGATTCATGCATGTCCAAAAAATTGCATGTTATTTTGGGGTTCACCGGAGGCTGAGAAGATGGATAAATGCGAGAAGTGCAACACATCCAGATGGAAATCAAATGAAAATGATGGTGGTGCAAATAATATGATGGACGACACAAAGAAGAAAAAAACAAAACCAGCAAAAGTATTGCGATACTTTCCACTTATACCTAGATTGCTGAGACTATACATGTGCTCTAAAACTGCAGAGCAGTTGAAATGGCATGCTACGGGGGTAAACCCAGATGGGTTATTAAGGCATCCTAGAGATAGTAAAGCCTGGAAGGAATTTGACTTATTGTATCCGGATTTCGCTTCAGAGCCGCGTAATTTACGAATTGCATTAGCTACCGATGGTTTCAATCCATTTGGAACTTTAAGTTCCAATAATAGCATTTGGCCAGTGATGTTGTATATTTATAACTATCCTCCGTGGTGTTGTATGAAGCAAACTTCTCTTATCATGTCAATGATAATTCCTGGTCCTAAGATGCCTGGCAATAATATTGATGTTTACCTGCAGCCCCTAGTTGCAGAATTACAAAAATTATGGATTGGTGTAGATGCTTATGATTCCTCTACTGATGAAATGTTTCAAATGCGTGCTTCATTGTTTTGTACTATAAGTGACTTTCCAGGTCTTGACAACTTATCTGGGTGGAATACACATACATTGCTTGCTTGTCCATCATGTAATTTTAACACAGAATCTAAAAGGTTGAAGTTTGGTAGAAAAAATTGTTTCATGGGGCATCGTCGGTATTTGTCACCTGATCACAAGTACAGATACAACAAACATTCCTTTGATGGTTCTACTGAACTTAGGCCTGCGCCTATTCCACCATCAGGTTCAGACATGTTAAGACAAATTGAGGTGAGTCAAAAAAGGGTTGAGGATGAAGGTACAAGTGAGATTGGCCCACAACA